TGTTTTGTTTTGTTTTGTTTTGTTTTGTTTTGTTTTGTTTTGTTTTGTTTTTGGTCTGTATGTGTGAAGAGTTTTTCCCAGTGACTTAACAGAAGTAATTGAAAGGGTCAGTTAAAATTCTGAATTCATGGATAGAGTTTAGGAATAAAAACAAGTACGGAAGAAAAAATGCAAAGGCATTAAAATGGTTGTGTGATGCAGGAGAAGAAGCTTGGAGAAAGACCAAAACACACGTATCCACCAACACTCCATCACAGCTTTTAAACTTCGAGCTATCTGGTAATTTTCTTTCCTCTTCAGTAAATGGAACAAACACTAGGCAGCTACATTTCCCCAGAATCATTTCACTTTATGTAAAGACAGTAGCATGCAAACACTTTCTCTTTCACCCTTGTTCATCGTTCGTGCAGGGCAGGGAATGGTGTGAGGTAGGTGAGACCATTCTGAGGTCAACGATAGCACAAAGGCTCAGCAATATTCCCTCAAATGGCAGGGTTTTTGTGGGTCCTTTTCTGGCAGGAGTGAGTAGGCCTGCTGTATTTCTCTTAACTGCTGCAGGGTTTTAAAATAAGTTACAGTGTTTTACACCTAGAGCAGAGAAGAGTATTTGCTTTATTGGTGATTTACTGGCCGAGCATCTAGATTATGGTACAGTTTGCTAAAAAGGCATTTGTTTAAAAGTCACTTTTTGGCAAAATGAGCTGACATCCAGTCCTGTTACGTGGATGCATTTGTCCTTCCTAGGCAACATCGAATGGACTGGTTCTCAGAGAGCCAAGGAACACAATGCAGGAGGGTGTTGGTTTGACTCGGAAGCCAGTCATATTTGGTTTTACCGCCTGGTATATTTTGGATTTCAGATGAAATGGGAAAAAAAAAAAAATGACAGGAGTGGTCCCTATGCATTTATTTTCATGGATATGCTTAATTTCATGGGCATGCCTAACAATGAACTATGTTCTAACTGGAGCTTAGGGCTTATTTTAGATATTGGAGTGTAGCTTTATTACAGATGGATTTTATCTTTAAACATTGCATTTTGATCAACTTTGTATATTCACGTGTATTAAAATATTGTGCACTAAATGTTTTGCCCTCATTTGCTATTATATGGTCAAGGCATTTATCGGCACTATTGTGATTAACTCATGTAAATGGCATGGGTCAGGGAAAATTATTTCCTACTTTTCTGCCTAATTAAATTTCTGTTTTCCAGTATTACATTAATTTATTTTTGGCTTCCATTTCTTTGTAACCAAAACAGTTACTGTATTTGTGTGGCATTCATTTCATTTTGTTGCTAAAGAAAACAAATTTAGTTTTTATTTAAAATGATCTGTACCTTAATCTTTTTTTTTTTTTTTTGTAACCAAGTCAAGCACTTTAAGCAATAATGTCAATCTTGTGAAATTTCAATCAGTTTAACACCCTGCCTCTAAAATTGTTTGCAAAAAAAATAAATAAATAAAATAGGAATTCCCTTCCTAGAGAATTATATCTTGGTAATGTTACACACATGGACTTAAAATCCTTTTTATAAAATGTGAGTTATTGGCAAGTCTCATGTCTGGCTAATCATTCCAAATGTAATTTTGAAGCGGTGGAAATGTATAGAACATTCTGGTCATTGTGACGTATAAAGGCAATGCTACTGTCAAGGTTCTGGAGGTAACTCATCCCTCGCGCCAAGTAAAAAAAGATCAACAGAAGTAATCCAGAAACCTGTATTTGGGGAATAGCAAATTGAGGGTATCAGTGGGTAGGGGGTGGGGTGAATTAGGGGCGGTATATTAGGCATCACAGTGAATTCCTCAGCTGAGACTCTGCATATCAACACGTCCTTTCCCAGTTAGGAAATAAAAGACCCGTGCCTTAAGTAAGAAAGTAGCTTCCGGCTTCTGGCTTCTAGGCAAGAGCGGGCAGTGTGGCCCTGGCCCTGTCGTATTGACAGCCAGCCCCGGACCTCTAGGTGGTTTCCAAGCTGAGGTGGGAGGGACCCCAGCGGGGTGCACACCACTGCCTACACTGGCCTGCCAGAGTAGGGGCAGTATGTGGCTTCCAGCCCCAGACTCAAGGTTGCTGTTAAAAAGCTCAAGGATGGGGCGCCTGGGTGGCGCAGTCGGTTAAGCGTCTGACTTCAGCCAGGTCACGATCTCGCGGTCCGGGAGTTCGAGCCCCGCGTCGGGCTCTGGGCCGACGGCTCGGAGCCTGGAGCCTGTTTCCGATTCTGTGTCTCCCTCTCTCTCTGCCCCTCCCCCGTTCATGCTCTGTCTCTCTCTGTCCCAAAAATAAATAAACGTTGAAAAAAAAATTAAAAAAAAAAAAAAGCTCAAGGCTTCCCCACCGCACCCCAGCCCCCCGCCCCCAGCCAGCCCCTTCAAGGGGCCATGTGTGGGCAGGAACTTGTCATCTGAATGCATCTGTCTGGGCCCAATTATGAGAAATGCAAACCCACAGGCCAAGAGTGGGACAGTGTGCCATTCCGTCTCTCAGCTTGTGTCCCTCTTCTCTCAGGTCGAGTCAGCTGAGTGACCGAGCTGGAACAACAGAGGCTTGTGGGAAAGTCATCTGTATCCTCCATGAAGGCTGTAGGAAGGAAAGACCTCCGGAAAGCCTTTTTCTTTTCTAGGCCTGGTGTTGGCCAACTGTTAAATGGGGTCTGTAGGATAGGTCTGTCACCGCCAGAGGAACCCAGTTCCTGGGGAATAAGGAGTGTTCTCCATTTATCCTCCATTTCTGTATTTTGATACCTAAAACACCTTTAACAGAGAAAGAAGTCTCCCTTTGCCTTCTATTTACATGAAGATAATATCTGCTAAGTAGGGAAGGTTTTGATTGTGGGATAGTACTAAAAACAAACCACTTAGACCTGTCCTAGAGATGCCCCCAGTGGAGAGATTTCTAATGAAGCCATCATTTAGCCCGGTGTGTTGGGAGTTGGGGGACAAAAGGAGGAAACAGAGGATCTCCTCTCTCATTTCTTAACCTCAGAAAGAAAAGATTTGTGGAAAAGAGATTTAAATTGTGGAAGTACTGGGGCGCCTGGGTGGCGCAGTCGGTTAAGCGTCCGACTTCAGCCAGGTCACGATCTCGCGGTCCGTGAGTTCGAGCCCCGCGTCAGGCTCTGGGCTGATGGCTCGGAGTTTGGAGCCTGTTTCAGATTCTGTGTCTCCCTCTCTCTCTGACCCTCCCCCGTTCATGCTCTGTCTCTCTCTGTCCCAAAAATAAATAAACGTTGAAAAAAAAATTTTTTTAAATTGTGGAAGTACTGTGTGTGAGGGGAATTCACAACTGAGCACAGTTTGGCTTTTGGCCTGGGTCTCCAGGAGCAGGGGGCCAGTTAGATAAGGCAGGCGGGTTCCTCTCTCCCCTGGGTCCCATTCTCAGAGTCCCATGTTCCTCTCTGCCTGCTCCTTTGAGGGAGGGACAGCACATCTTTAATTTTTTTTTTTAATGTTTGTTTATTTTTGGGAGAGACAGAGACAGAATGCGAGTGGGCTGGGGCAGAGAGAGAGGGAGACACAGAATCGGAAGCAGGCTCCAGGCTCTGAGCTGTCAGCACAGAGCCTGATGCGGGGCTCGAACTTAAGAGCCGTGAGATCATGACCTGAGCCAAAGTTGGACACTCAACCAACTGAGCCACCCAGGTGCCCCAGCACATCTTTAAAAACAGTGTATAAATCTGTTATGTTGTAGCAATGGACTTGAGCGTTTTGCCTCTTAATTTCATGTCAAAAGAGCCAGAATTTTGAAAGTCTTAACAGAGGATTTTTGAATAAGATAAACAATCCCTTTACATTATTACCAAATAATTGGAGCCTGTCTGAACTTAGCAAGACCGATCAGGGCAGGAGAGTTTCTAAGCTATGCGACTAATGACTTTATTGACTTATCAACTGTGTTCCCTTTTTTGAGTTCCTTTATGTTTTATTATTTTTTTAATGTTTATTTATTTTGAGAGCAAGGGAGCACAAGCAGGGGAGGGACAGAGAGCGAGGGAGAGAGAATTCCAAGCAGGGCTTCGTGTTCAGCGTGGAGCCCAACGTGGGGCTCGATCCCATCACTGCAAGATCATGACATGAGCCGACATCAAGAATTGGACGTTAAACCAACTGAGCCACCCACGCGTCCCAAGTTCCCTTCTGTTTTACAAGTGCTTTGAACAAAGCACATTAGGTAGGAGCTTACAAACAAATGAAAAGCTCCGTTTTGGTTGTGAGACACCAGAGTCAGAAACGACATTAAATGTTGTAAAAAGGATTCCTAATTTTGTGCTCATTCCCCACATGATCATTCATGAGAAAGTTTTTATTGATGACCCTGGCGTCGCATATCCGCGTTGTAAGTTAACGTGGACGCATCTTCACAAGTGAGCACACAGGTTCTACTAAGGCAGTGTGGGATTCCACAGAAACTCCAAGAAGGTTGGGCGCTTGTGTTGTGGGTTGAATTCTTATTTTGTTTTTACCTCCTCCTTCTCACAGGAGGGAGCTTGGAGAAGAAAACAGATGTAGATTTGACTTGGCAAGAGGCAATGTAATTTAATAGTTGAAGCCACCATTTCTGTGTATTTAACCAAGTCCTCCTGAGATCCAACTCAACTGTATTTGTATTCAAGAGGCTTTTAATCCACCTTACCTGAGAGAACATTCTGTACTGGGATAACTGAAAATAAACACACAGTTTAAGAGTGAGCCTTCTTCCTGTAGCAAGCTGAGTCTCTTCACTAAGGAGCTCTTTTCCAGGTGAAAATTCCCTGTTTCCCATGCTGAGGGGTAGAAAAATATCTTTT